ACAGTAACACTAACAGAAGGGCCAGGGCCGTGGAAAACATATTGCGCAAGCTCCGACTTCTAAGGATCATGGGAATTGTAGTCCTTCTTGTTGGAGGATGGGGGGGTGAAGTGAACGTGTAATTCCTGTTTTAAATATGGGAATAGCGCATAAAACAGTAATTAAAAATGTTTTTGAATTTGTCACTATTAAATTATTGAAAATGAAATTCAGTTGAGAATATAATATAATATTATGGCTTTTGTGATACTGTCCTATGCACTAAATCTTTGTTGTGGTTTCTGATGGTGGGACAAAATGTTTTCATAAGAAAGTTTATATTTTAATCGCATTATATTATTAAAGTAATATACACTATTGTTTAAGATAAAATACTTTTAAAATGTTCAAATGTTTATCTTTTAATAAATCAATATTAATATTGGGAAATAATTATATTTGATGCAGTGATTTCATCGTCATTCTCACCTATACCTTTATTTTCTGCAAAGCCTAAGACACAGGCACACAGACACACCCTGTTAATGAGGTGTGTTAGATCTCCATGGCTCTGCAGGGGCACTCCCACAGGCGGTGCTATATTCACGCCAGCCTCACACGTTTATCTGTGCTCAGATGCTGCTGTCAACTTAACTGGACTGCTGCCTATGTCTCTGCAAGGGTCCTCACATTCTATCAATGGTTGTCTTGAGGATAAGAAATGTGCACAAAAGGAAATATGCACTTATCTGCCTGTGCATTGTTGGCTTCATTATGTACAGATATCTCGGGTAAGTGCTCAGTATGATTGTTAAGCATGTTTTAGCTACTTTGAGGCTGCTTGTACCTAATGATGTACATTATTACAATGAATTAATGTCAATGCAATTCATAGCAATGCTGCAAGTATCTCTTTAGGGATATTGTGAAAGACAAAGTGATACTATACCATAAACTGTTACTTTGCTGTTGTTTCTTTTGCTTAAAAAAAACAATGAACAGCTTTAACGGCAGCACAGAGGATAAAGGATAAAAGGATAAAAAAAATGCTAATCTCATCTGTGAAAGTCTTGCCTTTAAATTCAGATATGTCCCTTTTGTGGTTGTGTTTGCCAACACAAGACATCTGCAAATTCCTATCAAGCATGTCATGTGGTCTATTCAAGCACAATGGTCAATGTGCTTTATTATGAGACAACATCTCTTCCAGCAGGCCAGCAGGGGGAAGGAGAATGACCAGGAAGGTGGGCCTGAGTGCCAACTCGTCCCAGTTCACACTGGAGGGGCAGCCCTTCCACATCCTCGGGGGATCCATCCACTATTTCCGTGTGCCCAGGGCCTACTGGAGGGACCGCCTGTTGAAAATGAAGGCCTGTGGCATCAACACTCTCACTACGTAGGAAAACTGCTACGTATTTGCTTTGTTTCTCAAGACTGGTCACTGGTTGAACGTTAACAGACAACAACCTGGATCTTTGCAGGTACGTGCCGTGGAGTCTGCACCAGCCAGAGAGAGGCGTTTTCAACTTCCACATGCAGCTGGATTTAGAGTAAGGAGTGACTCTTCCTGGACCTGAATACACTTGCGATTAATCACCACACAGTTTTCTGCTTATGGGAGTGTAGCCCATGTTCTCATTAAACCAAACATTCAACTTAATAATGTATATATTAAGAATGAAAACACCTTGCACCACCTCTCTAGCTGCTCTAACAATATTATTAGGGTGTGTTGGGAATACTCTCCTTATTCTTCTCATCATCTAAGCCCCAGTGCTCTGGGGAGAAGCTAGAGGCAGAGAGGTCCCACCTGACAACAAAGGCATCTCCCCAACAACAGCAACTTAGCAAGCAATTAACAGCACAGCGGTGACGCCTCAGTTGTTGCCAAGCACATTTCACACACCTCAAACAACAAGATATAGGATGCTCACTGGGGGTGTATAAACTTTGTGCAAAAGTAAAATGCTTATTGATTGCCTTCTCCATCTGGGTTTCAGAGCATATATCAATCTTGCTGCTGACTTGGGGTTGTGGGTGATTTTACGTCCAGGGCCCTACATTTCCTCTGAGCTGGACCTAGGAGGACTTCCAAGGTACTGCTAGTATTCTTTGCATATAACTACTTAAGGACAAATGTATACACCATTGCATACAGAAGTCCTGATGTTCTGTGTATATATGAAAGAAGGATATAGATTTAAACCCAAAGCACATCCGATGCTTTGTTCAACGAGCTCTGACTAGTTTATGTGCCTGAATAAATAAATTAGTCTGCGTGCAGTTTGTGGGTGAAAGAGTCAAATCTTGTTGTAAGGAAAGACTTGCCCAGTAAGTGAAGCTTTGTCCACTATCTTAGACGTACTATGCCTCCGTTGTTCTTGCAGCTCTGTGGCTTTAGTCATAACTAAGCATCTTGTTTTCTGTCTCTTGCAGCTGGCTCCTCAGCGATGGCAGCATGAGACTGAGGACGACTTATCCAGGCTTTACTCAGGCGGTCGACACTTTTTTTGACAAACTTATACCAAAAGTGGTTCCACTGCAGGTCACTGAAGCTGAAAACAAGTCTACTGTAGCTCCAGTTCATTTTATTTGTTAATGTTAAAAAATGTTTGTTTTTTAGTTCAAGAAAGGAGGTCCCATTATCGCTGTGCAGGTCGAAAACGAGTATGGATCCTTTGCGAAGGATGAAAGTTACATGCTTTTCATGAAAGAGGTGCTTAATTAAAATACCTACCATATCTTATAGCCACTAAATCCTCCACACTGGTCCTTTAACCCTACATTAAAACACAAATGTACACATTGAGGTTATTGATAGAATGGATCTGATCTAACTCTGTCATGACATTGTGTCTTATTTTGAAAGGCACTACAATCCAGAGGGATCAGTGAACTCCTGTTCACATCGGACAACCACAACACATTAAAGTCGGGAGGTGTGGAAGGAGGTACAGTATATTATTAATACACACACACACACACACACACACACACACACACAGTCCTATCCTCTTATCTTAAAGTCATCAGATCATTGAAGCTGCAGAAGCTGAATCAGAGAGACATCCAGGATCTGAATGCTATCCAGGTGTGTATTTTACCTTTTTCACATAATGTCTCTGTGTGTCACTGTAGATGTGTATGATTGTGTGTGTCTTTTCTGCACTATTTGTCAGCCTAACAGCCCCACCATGGTGATGGACTACTGGACTGGCTGGTACGATGTGTGGGGTGACCTCCACCATGTGCTTCCCCCAGAGGGTAAGATAGGTTCTCCCTGTTAATGGAGGCTTTTTAGATTAAAAAGGCACCTTTCTATCAATGCGATCCTGGGCCATCCCTGTACCTTTGTGTAGGGGTCCCAGGATTCCCTGGAAAATATATAATGCAAGTAATCCTTGATGTTAATGAGTTCTGAGGCTTTTTGATACTGTTCAAGCATTTTTGATACAAAATATGCAGATTTTCTTATATACTAGCATCAGACTGGAAAAACACATATTGGTAAAATCACAATATTGAATCTCAAGGCAATCTTTAGTGCTGTAAACAAATTCTTCACTTTCCATATTTTCCTACTGCTGTGCTTTTTGCATGAGGAACACCAGCTACATGCCAACAATGTAAATGAAAATGTAAATGTCAAAGTCAGGGTCAACCTTCTTTTGAATGAGTCAGAGTCAGGAGGTCAGCAAAAGGTCAAAAAGCTTTCTGTGACTTGACTTTAAAACTGTATTAAGATTTCTCAATTGCAGGGACCTTTATGTTTTTAAGGAGTAAATTTGTTTACAGTGAACATGTTGAACTTCTTGTCAGATATGGTGTCCACTGTGAGAGAAATTCTGAGGCGAGGCATGTCTGTCAACCTCTACATGTTCCATGGAGGCTCCAGTTTTGGCTTCATGAGTGGAGCACTCCAGGATCGTTCCTACAAAGCACTGGTCCCCAGCTATGGTTTGTCCCTCTGTGTCATGTGCTCTATTACAAACAAACCAGCGGTGTCTCTGATGCAAATTTACAAAGATTTTATGACAATGAATATGTTCCCAGTTGTTTACAGAATCAGCATTGACTTTAACACCCAGCAGGTGGCAGCACGTGATAATTAATCTATGTACCATTGCCCTGTTGTTCAGATTATGATGCGCCCTTGTCTGAAGCTGGGGAGTACACTCCAAAGTACCATCTCCTTAGGGACTTACTTTCTCGATACAACAGTAAGTTAAACACTAAGTTTAAATGTTATAATACATGCAGAGACCGACCCCTTTGCCTGATCTTGTATTTGACTCATCTTTACAGGAGGAGACAGTTTTCCTGACATGCCAGCGCTACATTACAGGGAGGCTTATGAACCAGCAATCATGTACCAGCACCTGTCCTTATGGGACGCTTTGAGCTTCACTGAGGGAGTATGTTTTATGTAAGATTATCTGATGCCTGTTTGTGTAATTAAAACAATTTAGCTTTTCAATCAAAGAAGTCGATTCATTTTCGTCAATTTCCTGCAGCCATTCAAGTCACTCAAACCCATAAACATGGAGAATCTACCTGTGAACAACAAGAATGGCCAGTCCTACGGATACACACTGTATGAGACCACCATCACCAGTGGAGGATTATTGAAGTCTGGAGACAATGTCCGAGACCGTGCCCTGGTGAGTGCTCATTGTGCGTGATGGCACAATCTCACTCACCCTGACATTATGCAGTATCGATGCAGTTGCCTTCTATTAACTAATTTATAATCCATAATATGTTTGTAGCTACTGAAAAACAACTTACAGGAAAATTGACATTTTAGGAAATATGTATTTTTGCTGCGAGTGGATAAAAAATGAGAAACTCACTTCAACTGTACACAAAATATGCCAATTTCTTGGCCAGGAGCAGTGACTTCCTGGAGACAACTTGTCAGTGTAAGCTATCAGATATAACATATGACATATAATGTGATTATTAGTGAGCATTAGAGGTGCAGATAGAACCGTTGGAACCAGGCTAGCTGTTTCCTCCTGTTTCTAGTCTTTATGGTAGGCATACTGTCTCCTGACTTTAACTTTATATTTAATGGACAGTTGTGAGAGTGGTATCCATCTTCTCATCTAACTCTCACCAAGAATGCAAATAAGTGTATTTCCCAAAATGTTGAACTATTTCTTTAAAATCATACAGTGATCAATGGTCGCTCTATGTTGTTGGTATGCCCACAGTACACATTTCTAAACATAAAGCTTACTAGGGGTGCAATTAATCAAAATATTATCAAAATCACAATATGGCCAAGTGCAATATAAAAATAGCAAAAGCAATATGCAAATCGCGAGAGCTGCAATGTTTTGATAAAGGTAAAATGTATGACAAAATATCTTTATAATGAAGTACTGTAGTGCTGCAGATATGCCCTGGTCTACAAATCTTCTCCAGATTTAAGAAAACATGTTTGTTTGGTACGGACCCCCAGGAATTTTACATTTCATGCATGATTTTAATAGATTCTTTTGTTAAAATTAAATTAAAAAAAATATGATTCACACACAAACACATGCTGTGAATCATATCGTAATCACAATATCTGTCAAAATAAGCACAATATGATGTTTTTACCATACTGTGCAGTCCTACAGCCCATGAAAGTTGTGTAAAGGTGGTGACCTTGGGGATGGTTGGCAAAACTACAGCCACCTCTGAGATATTTCATTCAAGTGAAGCAGAGTTTGTGTGTCATCTACTGTAATAGAATTTATATGACTGACTATATTTTTCTCTCTAGGTGTTTGTAGACAGAAGCTTCATTGGCCTTTTCAAGCGCCAAAGCCTGGAGCTGGCGGTTCCTGATGGTAAGGTATGGCATCAAGTTGGGCAATGAAGGCAAATGTACAGTAAATGTCATACATAGTTATTGGATGTGATGGATGCTCAGCTGTTGGCTGTTGCCAAAACTTGCAAGAGACATAAAAGCGATCAATCCCTACAGGGACAGCGTACCTTAAGTTTATTGGTGGAAAACTGTGGACGAGTTCACCAGGGAAGGGACCTTGACAAACAACATAAAGGTGATCGACAGACAATATGCAGTTCATTGCTGTGCCTGCTATTAAATCACTCAAGCACACAGTGGGTAGTGTACAAGCCAATTTTGATTTGTATTCTTGCAGGCCTCGTGGGAGACATTTTATTAAACAATATCCCCTTGCGGGATTTTACAATATACAGCCTGGATATGAAAGCCAGCTTCATTGATAGGTTGGTACGCTTTATTGAATCTAAAGCATTGCATATCACTTTCACTTTGCTGTAATAGTGTGTTTGAAGTGGATGCCTCATTTCAGTCTTTATCGGGCACCTTGGAAAACTCTCCCTGAAACTCCCAGCTTCCCTGGATTCTTCATGGGGCGGCTGTTTGCATACGGGTATCCGAGTGACACATTTGTGAAGCTGCCAGTAAGTCAATCGAAACATATAGTTGTTATGCTATGGTCATTTTTTGCATGTGTGTTTGTATGAGAAATAATTCATGCATTGCATGATATGATATTTTCTTTGGGTCCACAGGGCTGGGAGAAAGGCGTTGTATTTGTCAATGGGCTGAATCTGGGCCGCTACTGGTCAATTGGCCCCCAGCAGACTCTCTACCTCCCTGGTCCCTTTCTCAACAGTGGAATCAACCAGGTAAAGCATTTGTTAGAGGATTTTTTTAATGTGCTTATTTGCTCTGTTGCTGAGAGTTAGAAAGACAGCTCTAATGTCTGTCCACAAGGATATAAGAAATGTAGTTTATAGTAAAATGTCCTCCATTTATGTTGATTTCTTTTGGCTGGAGAAGAACTTGAGTTCTGCTTCAGGAACCTTTTTTGTAGCAGATTTTATTTGCCAAGAAGGCAGAATATTGTTTTAATGTCTGATCTGTAAAATAACGTGTCATTCTGTAATTAAATCAAATGTTTGACCAACTGTACTTTTTGTGTCTTGTAAACACATGTTGGTTGGGCACTTTGTGTGACGCAAAATACAAGAAAATCAATCAATCAATCTGCATGCTAAACTACTGTCAGCTTAGGCTTGCATTAAGACAGGACATGGTATAAACAGTTAGCCTGTCTGCTAACAAACACTGTCTAACAGAAACTCTAAAGCACATTAATTAACATATTATATGAAAACCACAGCGTGTTGTTAGACACTTTGGTTTCTGTACCAATCAGCTATCTGTTTCCCTGTTTCCATCTAAGCTAAGGTAACTGGCTGCTGGCTCTAGCTTCATTTGTAGTGTGTTTTAGTGTGTCTTCTTAACTCACTCTCAGTAAGAAAACGAATAAGCACATTTCTTTAAAGGTTTTTGTCCCCTTGCAATATAAAAGATTTTTACACAGTGAGTCAAGTCTCAATGTTCTAATATCTCTCTTCTTTGTCTCTCACTTTTTTCTCTTTATATGAATAAGGTCATTGTCTTTGAGGAGCAGGAGGGGGACTACAAGGTCCACTTTGAGGATACGCCTGATCTTGGCATGACAGCAGACATCCAATGATTGCCATCATCGCCTGCATGGGCATTGTTTTTTGTATAATAATTGGTCTTTTAACAAAGATTTACAAAGTGCTTGTTACATTTGTTCAAACTTTCAAATTCAGGGATATCAATGTTGTTAATACCATAGTCCTTGTCTAATTTAATACCTTCAAATATACAGAGATATACACACATCAATATGAAAAACAGAGAGAAGCATATTTGTATGGGAGCAGTTTATAGCTATGTACATACAGTACCTTTAGTTACAGTGATTCTTTACACATTACAGCAGAATTACCAAACATGTCCTCTTACCCATGGAGTCTCAGTTAAACAGTAATCATTTTTGTTTGTGGCAGTTATATTTCAAATTGTTGTTAGGTTTGTATTGCTTGTGAGAATATTCTGCAGAATGCTGTTACTTAAATGGACACATCTTAGCCTGTACAACAGAACAAAAAACAGGCTTATGGGACAATCTGAGCGGAGGCAGGGCTGATTCAAAGGAAACACAAGCCGCATTGTATCAACATCAGACACTTATCTTAAAGGCTTCAGATGCCTGTCACACTGATAACAGACCAAACTTTGAACATTCACAGAGTCTGAGAAACATTAGCATTTGTAAGCAGTGCCACTGCAGGTCAATGGGGTATGAAATCACCACTTGCAAGCCAGCCATCCATGGTGGGAATAATTAGATTGTGTAATACAGCCATTTGAAAGGATGCACATCCAATTTTGAGAGTAATGGCCTCATATCCCATTGACTCTCACAAGCAAAGCTTACGACTAACAAGTGAATGGTACCAGTTAGTCTGAAACAATAAATAATTCTGCTGAGAAACTGCCAGTTTACTCGGTGGGATCGTAATTAGCTTATGAAGAAGCCTGTGAAGTGGACAAGCCCCTGGGAATACTGAATCTTCTCTTAAATATGAGTATACCTCAGTATTGTTACAGCATATCAGGAATAAACAAGAGCTTAGAGTAAATGACTGCGAGAGAGGACGTTGCTGTTACACTGTAATAAATCATTGCTCTGTGTTTTTGAGTGCATGTGTGTCTGTGTGCTCCTCATGCGCAGTGTGACAGTTGAGCATGTGTGAATGTGTGTTGAGGAGTAACAGGACTCCTAATTAGTGCTGGGTTCAGGGTGCTATCTAAATAGCTCAGTGTTGTACAGTACAAGTGGGGAGGGCTCAGATCCCCTCAGTGCAGTCTGTCAGTCAGTGCTGACTCACTTCAGACAAGGACCCCTTTTATTCCTCTGTGCAGCCCTGTGCCGGACAGCCAGCTCGCTTCAGAACAAAAGGGCCCAATTTAATGCTAATTGGATGGTTGGCTGGTGTTGTCTGCGCTCAGAGGGCTCTTTATTGCTTGCTGTGCCATCTCTTCCTGCAGTTTAAGTTTCGCGTAACATCCTTTGTCTCAACTCCCCTTGGAGACCTCAGTGGACAAACTCCTTTTGGCGAATCCTACCAGCGTCTCGCATCAGCCTGTGCTCCGAGCAGAACAGGCCTGTTTGTTTTTGTGCAGTTGTGCTTTGATACTCTGGTCGGTTCACGCACATGGCCTGTGCTGCCTCTCGATTTGGACAGCTGTGCCTCCATTTCTAAGCTGTGGTGAAGTACAGCTACTGTGCTGTGTGAATGTTTTTGACCGTGGCTATTGCTTCAAGGAGCTCTGAGGTTGGTTTGAATCCAGATAGAATCCCATGGAGAACTGCCTCCCCTGGAATGACAACAATTTTAACACTTAAAAAGACAAGAAAACAAGGTACATGTTTGCAGTCTACAGCCACACTGTAGTTCCTAATGCTAACGTGTTAAGCATGTATAGTGTTAGTAAATAAGCATGTTATCATGCAACATTTGGGATACAGGTATTTCATCATAAAACAAAGTATTGGATTGACCTGATGAGGGTGCTAGAGAAAAAGTCAGTTATTACAACTCAACCTGAAGGTGACATGAATGTCTGTACTAAACATTCATGTCACCTTTCACTAAAAATCAAAAATGGATTTACAAATGTTAGCTTGCTGGAGGAAAAATCAAGGAATCACCAAAGTCATTAGGATTTGTGTGAACGAAGGGCTGTGCAAATTTTTTAATCCAGATATGCGAAGATATTTCTCCCTGTAAGTGAAAACGTTGACCTGCTGCTGACACTATATTATGTATGTATGTACCAATCCATCCAATACTTACAGAAATATTTCACTACAAAACAAAAATGTCATGGTGGTGCAAAATGAAAGGTCAGTGGTCACTAAAGTCCCCTGGGGACCATGAATATCTGTTTAGGATTATTCATAAAGTAGTTGTTGTCCAACGCAACCAACCAACCACACTGGCAACCTTAGAACCACAGGACTAGTGTGGTTGAAAATATGTGTGATAAAAAAGCAAGGCAAAAATATAGTAAAATAAAGTCCCCCTCCACTCAAAATTATTCATCTGCTGAAAGTGGAAAGTTTCTCTGGGCTCACTGAAAATCTGATTTTTAAGGGGCGGGGCCTACCAGCATGATTTTTGACATCACAGATAGTGTGAAAGCCGCCAGTGCACATACACTAAGAATGGACTTTACACTAAAGTAGGAGATATCTTGGGGATCTTTAAATTGTCATAACAAAATCTGCAGGAGACAATCCTATAAACATGTTATGTAAAGGTCAGACTATCTACAGATCTATTTCAAGTAAGGTCTGTATGTCATGGTCCATCCCCCCAAATATTCACTGTGTGGAAATGCCATTTTGAAATCTCTGCTATTACCTGTGTCAGATGAAGTATGTCATATCTCAACATTAGAGTCTGTAAATCCTTTCTTGCCCTCATTTACTAGCACAGGCTTCTCAGTCCGTGTGTGCCATACTAATACCTGCGGGTAAGAAGAAAGGGATGGAGATGAGCAGAAATACAGTCAATGTGATGAAACACTAAAACAGATATTTTGGCTCACAGTGCTGTGCAGTAGAAATGTACTACATCATACTAGCTACACAATGTCTAGAGGCAGAATGTAGGATATATTTTAAATGAGCTGTATGCATAAAGAATCAGCAGTAAGCTGACAGTTCACTGACTTTATGAACAAATTGTTACGACAGCCAAAGACAGCCAAAGACCTTGAGACTCCTCTCACACTAGCAGCATTTACCGAAGTAGCTTGTTTTATTGCCAATTCACAGAGTTTGCACAACATGCAGAGAGCCTCCTTTCGATACCTTAGTGCAGTTAGCAGCTTTAGGCTCCAAGTCACTGAGAGTGACCAGCTCCTTTAATAAACTGCTCTCCTGGTAACCTCCCTTCACCCCACGCAACTTGAAATAAGCCTGAGGTTTAGACAGAATGAGGCGTAGGTTCACTGCAAACCCAGCCATGTCGATGGCAAAGGGCCGGTGTGGGTCGAATACAGTCTTCCAGCCGTACACCTTGCCCAAGGTGTTTACTTTAGGGGACTCGTACCGTAGGCCACCCACAAAGGCCACGGGCCACACTGACACCTTTTTGGTGGAACGCATCTGGTAGTTGAAAACAGAGACAGACATACAAGTCACTCATGTGAGTCATAAATTCCATGAAGCCAAAAATGTAGATTTAGCTAAAGACACACAGGAGAACTAAGGAGTCTGTGAAAGCATGAGGAGGAGGAGACATTGCGTAGGAGTAATTCAGCTCTATGCCATGTTTTACTTTCCTTACCTCCTCAAACAGCTCCAGACTATACGTGTTGTCATCATCTGCAAAGTAGACAATCCCAGGCTGACTGCTGTTTACACTGAAGGTTTCCCGAAGCCACCTCAGGGCCAGGTTCCGCTGTATAGTACCCCGAGGTATTCGGGGGTCCCTAGTATCCCCCCGTACCTTATAGTTCCTAGGCGTCTCCACATTGAGGTGAGTGTAGTTGAGTCCTGTCTCCAGGAGGAGGCGGCTGACCAGAGTGGTCCTCCTCTGGGAGTCCTCCACCAGGATCCAGTGCAGGTTGGCCACGTGCAGCAAGGTGTTGGCCAGACGCGTCAGCTCTGCCTTCTGCACCGGCCGGCTGTAGGTGGGAGTGATGACGTGGATGGTGGGCAGGATGTCAGACCAGGGCGGAGGCCGGCTGTAGACATACTCAGTGCGCACCACCTCCACGATGTCCCGGTTCTGAAGTGAGCAGGACTCCTTGAAAGCAAAAGTGTTTCTGGAGTTGGAGCGACCATCACGTCTGTCATCTAGCCAGGAAGGAAAATGATTACAGTGTTGATGGGACCTTGTGCTAGATGAGACAGTGTGGACTAAACGGCTAAACTGTTATTGTGTAAGTAAACACAGTCTTTGCATTACACTTGATCAACATGTGACATTTTTCCCTGAGGTTAGAACACTCTGACACAGAAGCATGCCATAAGTAACACAAGCACTTTAGTTAAATATTGTTATGATAAATATGGATGAATGGAAAAATTTTCACAATCTGAAAACATCAGCGCAGACTTGAGTAGCTTCACCCTTACCCTTTCGAGTAGCGAGCAGAGGAGTGATGGTGCTCTGGTGCCAGACAGTGATGAGCAGTGTCCAAGGCAACACGATCAACACAATGGCAACGATGTCTCGTCTTTTCGGCATCTCCAGGGTCAGACCTGAGTCATGTCCCTACCTGCATGGGATATATAGCGCATGATCTGATATGGTTAAAGGACCACAGAGCTGATTTTAGAGCTCGCTGAAGGGAACAAACAGAATGTTTCTTATGGAAATTTTGTTTTAAATGTTGCTGGAGTTACATCTTTTTAATTAGTTTATTATTATATCCTATCATATCCAATTACTGTTATAGCTTTTTACTAATTTATTAAATCACATAAAATACATTTTAAGACATTTTTTAAATTTATTATTTATATATTAAGGGAACGGATTCCAATTTAGTAATTCTTCTAGAGTGCTGTATAATTACGTTTAAAAATGATTTCTGTTGTTTTTGCCGTCAGAAAGACCGATATGTACGGGTGGAGAAATTCTAAGTGTCTTTCACCAGACTCCATTTAGAGTTATCATTTCTAAAAGAAACATTAACTGCTTTTAGAGTTATATTTAGCATACTGTCTTTAGCTGAGCTGGTTGACTGAGTTTCCCAATCTGATGGCCCACCACTCAATGTAAAATGCATTTTGAAGTCCATAGATGGTAGCTCTCTGTTCAACATCAGCATACTGTAGCTGCAAGGCACAAACTACATGGAAGGAGGCATTGTGTTAAAAAGCAGTCTCAGCCTGCTGAAACTGTTGCACAACAGAAAATAGGTCAGAAAATGCTCCAAGCTTTCTTTTTGTCTCATTTGAAAGCATACTGGTGTACTACAGAGAGCAGCTAATAATTTAACGCTAGAGTGTTGCTGAAAGGGTCAAGCCCTTTCGTGCATTTAAACAGACAAAGGGGTTATGGATTCACCCTTTTGTTTATTAAGTCTATCTATATGTTCTTTATAATTATAAACCGTAGATTTTCAGATAGAATTTATTTGCCTCAGTGGCAGAGATGGCCAGGACTTCTTTTCTAATTTCCTCTGTTCCACTGATAACACAAACTAAAAACCACCTCAGTTTTTACTTGCTGTCTTTATAATTTTAATATAATGTCAATATCTACAGTACTAATTCCATCTTTACCCGAATGTTGTTAAGCTACCATTAACTCAACACCTCCTCCAAGAATCTTCACATTAAAAGTCTTGCAGCCTTGCCTTTACAGGTAGGCTTTTAGTGTGAAAAAATATCAGAAAATGTTGAGTTAACAATAGCTTAACATTGATCAGAAGTATGACAAAGAAAAAACAACTGAATAATGAGTATGAAAACAATTCTGTGTAGTGAGAATGACATGTACTATTAGAGTGTACATTATACTTTTACCATGCAAGATGTTGAAGTGGGCTACAATTAAAGCCTGATTTAAACTTTATACGTCAAATCGTCACTGTGAGTAGAGTGTGGGAACGGCCTCGTACGCTCCGCCGTAACCTGACGTGCACCTCGTCAAAAATTTAACCAGACGACTATGACAGGTCCGCTTTGTGTGTGTGTGCATTATCTGAGAATGGGAGGCAACTCGTGCAAAACCCAGATGAGTTAATAATGCAGTTTGAAAATCCCTATTTAAAAGTACAAACACACAAACAGTGTGGGACGCTGCCTTGCTGCATGACATGCTCGTGTCGGTCCCCTCGTATTCCCTTGTCCAGGCAGGGGTAGGACGAAATGAGGAAAACACAAGACAGATTGAGAAGAGCGATGAGGGAAAGTTTCAGTTTCAGTCAAAACTCAAAACAGTGGCATAGAAACCCCACCACCAACTAGATTCTTGGCGGTGTTATTTGCAGAGCAATGCAGACACACCAGCACACAGGTATAAATGCTCACAACGACAAAGGGCACTTGCATAGGCTCGACACAGAGCCGATATACAACTATAAATCAGCCTTAATTGCACCTTCCTTAAAGTCTTTATACGTGGGCTGGCCACGCCCCCGGCTATTATTTGAGATGATATGAGAATTTACAGTATGTCACAAATAGACAGGTCTGGCTCAGGAGGTAGACAGTGTCGCCCATTGATTACAGGGTTGGCAGTTCCATTGCCGGCTCCGGCAATTCGTACATCACAAGTGTTTTTGAGCAAGACACTGAACCCCCAAACTCTCCCTATAGTTTGACCACTACATTGCATGTTAGCTTACTGCCATCAATGTGTGTGTGATCAATGGGAGCGGTTTGGATAAAAAAAACAACAACATATTATCTTACCTATGTTTATAGCCAACACACATGGTTGCTTCAAGAACTGATACTGGAGGCTCTGTACAAAGAGGCCTGGAGAAAAGGAAAGTGTGTTTATCAATGTTTCAGTCAAGTTGATTATCCCTGCAGAGAGAAAACACACGCAGGATTAGAGTTTGTTTTGACAGCCTGTCATGTATCTCAGGATAGCTAAGCAGATATGTAATAACATTTTGTGTTAATAAAATCTGTTAAATGTGTCCTCATGGTCATGTGACCTCCCTGTTGCTCGACATGCTTATGTCTTTGATTGAGGCTACTTAGAATAGCCCAAAGTGTGAACACTAATCATTCTATGATTGGGTCCCTGTGGACATGCAGAATATGTAGAGCAAATGTTTTATATTCAATGTGGAAGCATAAACAACAGTTTCATCTGCATCATTTGTGTGCTTTTGGTATGACTCATTTCCAAAGGTCATTCGTGTTTCAGGCAATTTACAGCCAGTTTTTACCTGGTTCAGCTGCTATTTATTCCATCAGAGCTTTTACGTTGATGAAAAGGAAATGCGGATAGTAGACAAATCTCACAATGTACATGAGTGTTTATGTTCCCCTCATGGACAACCCCTCTCATCCTCTCTACACTGAGCTGAGGCAGCTCAGGAGCACTTTCAGCTACAGGCCTTTTGCACTATTTATATTTAATTTCCA